CCTTACAATGTACAACACGACGGAGCATACGATGTATGTTTTCGTGCAATAGGAATTCCTCCCTGCAGGAGGGAGTCGAGTATGAGAAAAAAGTAGGGGAAAAAAATTTTGAATTAATTTTTTTAAAAGAAAGTAGTGTGTATCCAGGTGCTGGGGGTTGACAGTTTGCCAGATTTCTTCGTCGCGGCAACGAAGATCTCACGAGAAGACGAAATCCGTCCTTCACCTTCATCGGTGGTGCAAATCGGGGACAAAAATACCCTGGCACCCCACCTGGAAATGAAAGGCTCGTTACGTTACAGAAATAAGGGCGCCCGAAGCACCCGTCGCCTTGCGGGGTCTGTGGTGTTGCACCTTGACCTTGCAATGAAGAATGACGCCTTAGGCTCTCTTTTTGGGTGTGGCTAGGGGAAATTGCACGAAGTTATATCCGTCGTGACGATGTTCTGGAACGAGACCGCCGAGAGGTTTTCGTCGTCGGGGAGACCAGAATACTGCGAGATACGTTTCGATTTACTTAAGCCGACCGGTAAGTTAGTCGTTGTGCATACCGTAGGTCATGGTCTGGATTCAGAGTGCGGTTGTCGCAACTTTCTCGAGTTTGACCTTTGGAATTCGGACGTGTGGTTTTGCAAGTACAGGCTTAGACAGGGGCTATGTCGCTTTTGGCAGTTGTAGGTGCTCGCCTGTTGCCTTTGACATCGGAAAAATGAGAAAGTTCGGGCTGGTTCTGTTCGTAGCGGAGGAGAGATCCTCGCGTAAACGAGATAGAAACTTGTCACTGGCGGGACACCAGTAAGCTTTCGCAAGTTCTCTAGCACGTGTTCTTCATTTGAGCCGAGTCCTTTTTCGCCGAGCCTCCCCATGTGGCAGTTTCCATGCTGATAACGAGATGTGTTACGGGGGGGGGGGGGGGGTACTTATCAGCCCATTATCAACGTCTCTCGACTGAGCTGAACCACGCGAACGGAGTGGAACGTCTTCCGATGATCCGAAGCTCGTGCCAGAAACTGGTTCGGGGAGTCGTGAATTTGGGTCGCTGCTGAAATGGCAAAAAAGGGGCGAAGAGTAAACCAAGACGCCCTTTTTTTAGACCGAGATTTGCCGAGTCTCCCCCTCTGAGAATGCAGGAAGACACGAATCCGATACAATGTTGCTCTTCCCCCTCGTCTAAGCGAATCTTTCGAGTCCCATGGGCAAGTATGTCGGTATGCACGAGATCTTTTCCGAACTTTATCCGAGGTTCTAGGAATTTCCGTATAGTGCGAGCCCTTTGTGCCCCTTTGAGCCCCGTTGACCAGGAGAGGTGTGAAGTGATGATTCCCGTAAGGATTTCGGGGAAAGGCAGTCCGTCACGTGAGATGCCCGCACGTACATGGTCGTTCGGAAAGCTCTCTCCGGAGAGGGGTTCTCCCAGATACGGCCATGAAGTACTGATACGTGATGGTATACAGGGTACCAGCGTATTGCTTCTGCGATGGAAGGCCAGGCCCGGTTGGAATTTTCCCTTGGGGACTAAGTTTTTTTTTTCGTCTTTGAAGAGTTCCAGCGCCGCCTCGTCGATATCTGCATCCTTATCCAGCTGAGGATCTGGAATGAGCCTGGACTATTTTCGCGACCATCTTTCCTGTTTGTTATCATTCGTGTGATCTGATCTTCCGCGAGTCCTCGCGAGAGAAGGAGAAACACACCCAAGAATCGAGTTTTTCTGAAGTTCCCTCCGATGACCTTTGATACGTAGTTCTTATGAATAGCTTGTTTTGCGTGGAGATATTGCCACGACGAAACCGATTTTCCCAGAGATTCCCCTTCCTGATTGACTTTTCTTCCTTGGGAAGCCCAGGAAAGAAACTTCATTGATCCCAGCCCATCGAGATGGATTGACACTATCTCGGCAGAGGGAATGAAGCCAGGATGCCCTGCATTTAATTGAGAAGCCTGCTTAGAAGTCGATCCATCCTTGGCTGGGAGGATGAGATGCCATCTAGCGCTCGTGCCCCTATCGCATCCCCTCTCTCTCATCATCATCCTCTATCCATCCATCCTTCTTCTGGGTTCAAGAGGGGAGGCTGGGGTATCTCTGGAATATCCGATATTCAGCTGACAATTCCCGTCAGTGAGGGACCTCCGAGCCCGGTTCTTCATTCTCGCCAGATATCCCATCTCGTATGGAGAGCGTGTCGTAAGGGGAATGGGGGGGGGGGGGGAGAGAGAGAGAACGGGGGGAAAAGAGGGGAGGGATGCATGGAGACAGCTGACTCCTAGTAGAGCCCCAACCGGATGCGTTTCTCCCCCTCCCGAGAAGTAGTGCCGGGCCACTCTCCTCTTCCCTTTCATGAAATGAAGTCTCAGTTGATGGATTGAGGGGGCCCACGTCCGTCTTCGGGCACTTTTCGAACCCTCGGAAAATCTATATGGACGTCCAGTTCGTCGATGTATTGTCCGAGGGGCGGGGGATCGTATCGAACGAAGCACCGCGGTCCCGAGTGGCGATCCATTGCCAAGCAACATGAAAGGCGTTTGTGGGGTAATATAGAGGACTCTAGTGCCAAGACGGGGATGCAGTAGGGGGACCTCAAGGCTTGGCAAAGCACGCTTCTAAAGGCCTGGCGCGCGCATAATAATGTACGCATCAGCTGGATCAATACTCCCTGGCACGGCATCCCATCTAGCATCAGAGACAACGGTTCCCTTCTGTCGAAGGAGTTCCCCCCCCCCCCCCTTCTCCCCTCCCCTCTTCCTCTTCAGAGGGTCTTATGAAGGAAGTAAGGAGGAGAAAGCTGAATGCATTTGCTTCTCGTCAAGAACCCTCTTCATGAGATTCATGATTCTATACGCCTCCTTCATGCGCTTACTACAATGGTTATAGTCATCGCTTCTCATTTTCGCCGTCCTTGATATTCACGTACATTGTAATGTTGCAAACATCCTAACTATTCGACCGCTTTTGGTTCAAATGGCCGTGGCGTTCGTGCCGGTGATCATAGCCTGCCTCTCCATAGTTTATGCTTTGCATGATGAATGGCAGGATCGAACGGAGCATGTGCCTTACATGGCCTTGAAGGTGATGTGGGTTGTACGATAGGCAGACCTTTCTCCTCGTAGTCTTATTCCTTACAAGGAGGCATCGATGACCTACTTTTCCGTCCCTAACGTAGGTTTTTATTTTATTACTGTTCGTAGTTACTGCGCCGTTTTGTGAGACGATGCCATCACAGCTGGCTTGGAGTGGTCTCATTCACTCCCACTCCAATGAAGCCGATTCATGTAGTCGCTCTGTCGGGGTTGTGTTCCCTGCTGCGATTGCCCTGCTCCCACGGTGACGAGCCACCTTTGACATTTTCTTCGGGTCCCACTCTGCATGCCTTATTCACGGCCAGGGGCTTGTAGAATACAGGGTGCCAGCGTGTCCGATTTTGAACGGGGAATGAAAAAACCTCGTCGATTGCCTAAAGCGAGGCGAGTCGATGCCGAGCCGGTCGGGCATTGGGTTCGTCTAGTGCGTGCCTTCGTGCGCGTGAAATAAGTGGGCGTTCGTTGCACGTTCAACGAACCAGGGAGAGAGAGAGGGGGGAAGTGGAGGGCAGGAGAGAAGGCATGGAGGGAACGAAGCATGGAGAGAGCCCACCTGATTCAAGGACACCTATCTTTCCCTATATTCCCCCCCTTCCTTGCGGGGAGAGAATTGCCTTCAGCCATGACGTCATCGCCTCGCTTTGTCAATGAACTCCCTAGTATGCAATGCAGACTGGACGAGGTAATTTCCCTCTCGTGGGAGAATCCTCTCCGCCATCCCCACCTGCTCTCCTGCCCGTTTTCAGCTGTTTTAGCAGAGGCAGCGTTGTTGTTGTTGGGGGGCAGAGGACCCGGAAGTAGACTCATCCCTTTCCTTGTCTTGATGTATGCTGTCTGCGATGAGTATTTATATCGAGGCCATTCGTTTTTCATCCTTTTCCTTTTTTCTTTTGGGCTGTCAGTCTCGTCGATCAAGATCCATTCATCACGACTATTTATTACTGCGGGTCACGTCAGTTGTTGACTTCGTAAGCGGGACGATATGACAATTTTTTTATGGAATCGTTTTGCTTACCAGTTGTGGGATACGGGCACGTTCATGGCGTTGAATTCATGTCGCCCTCCTCGTCAGGCCAGTTCGCTGTTGAACCCTGTAACCCTCCTAATTGAGAGGGGCGATCTGTTGCCGAGTGATAAGTGATGCTTTCCATTAGTTCTCATCGTCGGAATTCGATTAGCTTCATGTCCATCTGTTCATTAGGTATGAGTTGCCGTGGTGTCACCCAGTCGTTGGCAATTTATGGATGCGTAGATGAAGCTTCAGCCGGGGTGCGGCTTTCCACGTACCTTCAGGCAGTGCAAGGTTCGAGGAGTGGCTTTCGTAGCATGAGGTCTTGTTAGTGAATATATTTTACAGGTATGAGGGGTATTTTTTGTTGTCACCAGTGCTGCCGGTGATGGAAGAAGCCCGAAAGATAAGGATAAGCCTTGCAAACGGATCGTCGCTGTAGCCTGTATAAACGCTTATGCTGATGAACTTTCTCCCTCTTCATACTGCCCATAAGTCTGTATCTGTAGATAACCGTACATTGCAAGAAGCATAATATCGTGAGGTCATCCTTTCCCCCTGTGACGAGTCATGGCATTTCACTTTGACGATGCAAGTATTAGTGGTGTATTTGTAAATTTGATTTGAGACTACTATGCAGTCCGAATAAGCTGATTTAGGTACTTGCTACCTACATCACTTCTCTCCCGGTAAACTGACATGGACGTACACTACTTTTGGCAAATTTAATTTACGTGTACGCCGCATACCTTGCTATACAACCCAAATACACCACTGGTCTGTACTGCTACAAAGATGAAGGATGTGGGATGGAAATAGAACCGTCAACTCATCCATCATCATTAACAGGATTATCTGTGCCTCAGCATGTCTTGAACAGCATCACGGGCCGTGACAGGCACTCTTTTCCGTACAGGAGGGCTCTTGGAGGAGAACGCCGCGATCTTGGAGGAGAATGCGATCGATGTCTTCCCGTGTCCGCTGGGCATGGGGACGGGGATGCCTCCGAGATCTCCTTCTGGTGGGGAGAACGGTGAGAGATACTCTCGAAAGGTTTTCGTCGGTGGGCTCCCACCTGACATCGATGAAGGTTAGTTGTTCCCCGGCTTCTTGGATCTCCACAGTGGATTGCAATTTGCACGCTGTTGATTTGAGACTAAAATTCTTCACTGCCGCTATGTAAGCTAAAATAAACTCAATTTTTTTGGGGAAAAAACTAAAACTCGGAAACTAAAAGTTTTTGGCGCAGCTTGTTCAGGAATGGCATACGTGGCAGTCTCAGGACAGCATCTGATTCCATTAGCATTTATTTGTTACCTGATGGAGTAGACCTTCATCAATTTTGGCTCTATTGCGCAGCATAGTACGAAACAATAGAATTTTCAAGCACACATGCTGCTGGAAGGTTATTCCATCTTGTTGAGGCTTATGTGAATTGGAAATTTTTTCAGTTGTTATGCGAAGTCAGTCTCATTATGCTTTCATGAATCATTAGTCAGTCGACAAATACAGCTCTTACAGAAGAGGTGATTGGCATTGTATTGTATGCAGGAAACTCAGTGGGTAGTCTGGGCATTTGAGGAAAAGAGACTCCCTGAGCAAAAGGCCATTTTGTTTCAGGTAGAGCTCTTTCCCTTCTATGATAATTGATGACCTCTCTCATCTTGTGAAGGAATCAATAAATAGAAAAAGAGAGGGATTATCTAATAAGAAGACTGTCTCTGAGACCTAGTATGAACCTTTCCCCCATGTTTCTTTGTTTAGGGTAGTGGATAAAATGTGAAGTCATCAAAAGAGATTTGCAAGCTGATGCTGTAATAGTAAAGGTGACTCTCTCTGCATGAATGATAATTATTGTGTTATTCAGCAACATTTATACAGGACTTGGGCAACTGAACACAATTGGGAAAGTATAGGGATTTTAGCATGTAGCCAATTTGCAAAAAAATACAGCATTGTTCTTTTCATTGATGAAGTTTGAGTCTTCACCTGTTCTAAGCCAGAGTGTGAAGATGTGTTTTACCATTGAGGCTCTGGAATTGGGCTGTCTAAGCCATGATTAATTTTTCTGCTATAGCATTCTGTAATTTACATGTTTCATTTGAATAAATAGACATTTGTATTTTCTTGTTCTATCAGAGGAGATTACTGCCAGCTTCCGACGCTTTGGACACTTGGTGGTGGATTGGCCTCATAAGGCAGAGAGCAAATCTTACTTCCCTCCCAAGGGATATGCCTTCCTGCTTTTTCAGGTGAGTTCTGTTATTCTCTGCTGTTATACATTCTTAATTCTTGTTTAACAAGGGTATATAATAAATAATTATTTGTCATGGTATTAGAGGTGAAGCAACAATAATCAGCTGAGCCAGGCAAAATGCACATGGTTGAGTATTTGCAAAATACAAATATAGAACCAAAATAGTATTTCAAGTACATTTGAAAATATGAAGTACAAGTCTTTCCATCAACTTCATGCATTTGGATTTGTCCATTACAACCACTCTTCAGAGCTTTGTGCAATTCTTCTTCAACAAATAAAATTTATCAAAATTATCAGCTATTGACCTTCACTTTGGAGTAGATAATCAAAATAGTACCTTCAATACAAAGTAGTACATTGGGACATTTTCTCTGGGACTGAGGATGGTGAACTAGTAACAACTGCTATAGGTTTGATGCTTCTGTGGTGTGGTTGGTGTTGACTTTCTTGCCAATTTCACTCATTTATGAAAACACTTCCATCCAATAGGCAAAACATCAATGAAGTCTTTTTTTTATGGAAGACCAAGCTCAAATTCTCCTGGAAATAAATGATACTCCTAAAAACAGCCATCTGTTTTAAAGAACAAAGCAGTGCAACAGGAAAGCTTAGAAAATGATCTAATATCATGAATAAGCCAGATTATGGCAGATGAGAAAGAGAATCTATGAATGAGTCAATCCTGATCATTTGTATTAGAGGAAAAGAGAAATGGGATATGGGGTGACCTGCATTGATTGGATTCACGTTAAATGAATTTATTTTCACATTAAGCTTATATGGGATTAACATATACTCTTACTGGTGGATTTGCATGAGAATCCATTATAAAAATGAATAATTCAAGAATGACATACTTGTTGCTCATTTCCTCTCATGAGGAATACCATGGATCTTTTTGTAATATTTCTTCAGTTTAGTAGCAGAACTGACATTTTTACCTCTATCAGCATTGGTGGTTATGGAGCCATGGGATTTTGAATCCCTCCAAATCCAATTAAACTGACCGAGGGTGAAAATTCCTGGTTTTACCATTGCTTCAGTTCTGTGTTTGTTGAGTCCTTGCTTCGAAGAATGTATGACTGAAGGATATATATCTCTTGCCATGTTGTTGCTAGAAATCAAAGAAAGAACAGGAAAAATACTGATATTTCCAGAACCAAAATTTAGTTTTTAAAACATAAAGGATTTATGGTGAGGTTTTCATAATACAGAGGAGGATGCTGTCCCTTAGTGCTCTTTTGCCATGTCATGTCTTGTCTTCACAGGTCAGGGAAATATGCTAGTCTTGACACCAAGGTGTTAAGACTGATGGATTTATAGGGTGTGTATAGGAGTCACTGAGGCTTGGTGATTGTTAAAGAAATATTAAGCACTTTGACAAATGTAATTAGTTCACCAATATTGGAAGAAATCAGTGATATGGTCATGTTGTGGTAAATTGTATGAAGGAAGTAACATCACCACTCAGGAAAATCATTCCTTCAAAGGCTAGCTTATGTCCAGTTCTGGTGACTCTTATAGCTCTTCCATTCATTAAATAATCTGGTCATCAGTTTTTACTCAACATCTATCATGAGAATATACTCTAACTCAGTTGATATAATTTGTAAGAGGTCAAATGGTTCCTGCAATTTCCCTCATTTTGGGCTTCTTTTTGTAGAAAGCCTCTTCCCTAATCTTGGGATGTGGCTTATGCTTCATGAATTGCATGTAATTCAAATCACAGTGTTACATTGTTTTCACAAAACAATGTCCAGTTTTTCAGCGGTGGAGTGAATGGGTATGGTGAAATGAATAGGAACAAAGAACAAAAAGTATCAATTGCCCTCTCATGTACAGGCATTCCTGTATTCACTTTCCAAAACTAATTTTTACCATATCACTGGGTAATACCTTTCATGCTGCTATGGTATTATAGCTATATCAGTGAGAGTTTTGAAATGGTTAATATTATTCTTCCCAAGTGAAAAATAATTACATTCTTAATGTACTCTCCAATTTCTGTACATTGTATCCTGTATGATTCCAATAATTGGTGTTTCTTTGTAAACTATAGAAGGAAGTCAGAAAGAGTTTCCAACAACTTCATTTCTTTAGGTATTTTGACTTTTTATTATTATTTGACTATTGTTCATTTTAGATGTACTGGTAAGTGCACAGAAACAGATTGTAAATATGCCTAGAACACGTAAACCATAAGTTGGTGGGAAAAGACAGGTCAAGACTGATCCTTTGATGCTGCAGAAGGTTTTTTGATGAATAAAAAAGATACCTTGCCATGCAGCTGCTAGCTTGCACATTTTTCCCTCTTAAGCTCTTGAGGGGCATGTCAAAGAACTGTGTTTGAAACACAAAGGTAAAAGTGTTTTGCATGTAGAAGTTGGAATAATCTTGGTTGACCACCTTATTACTTATAGGACCTGATGATGTATTCCACTGTATAGTGGTCTGCTTTCAGTCCTGTAATTTCATAATTGCTGCATGCATCCCTCACTAATGAAGGAAGATTGGCAAGATGATTAGGGGACCCTGGTAGTTACTTCTAATGCAGCATGCCATTATGCAGGATGGTTGTGATGGACCAATCTCTGTTCTTCCTTTTTTATATTGTGAAGAAAATATAATTTATTTCAATCTTCCAAATAACTTTAAGGCCTAGTAAACTCTCAGTATTGCAATTTCCAGCTAAACAACTAACCTTTTGCCACCATAAATGTTAAAAATAGCCTTACCAAATAATTTTAAAACTGAAATTTACTCTTATTCATCCCATCTATTCATCCCATCTATTCAGCTAGCTGCAGTTTCCCCACTCTAAACGTTTGGCTGTCCCTGTTTACAATACCTGATGGAGTTAGATAGGCTTTCTAAAATTCCAGCAGTTTGTTGGAACTATTATCCTAATAATTATTATCTCACCTTGGATCCCTCTCTTGCTGTGGATCATGAATGAATGATAAAAAGAGTTGCAGTTTTAAAAAGTGAAGAAGGCTGTCAAAACCGTCTTGATTGACTCCTTTTCATGATATTGCTACTCAACACAGCCATTTGTGAGCCATTACCACTAAAATCTTATGTACAAAAAGAAGAAGGAAAATTGTAATTAATTCTGGTTTCTCTTGCAACATGAACTAGATACAAAGTTGGTTATTCCATCTGTGGGGTGGAATATATGTGCAAGCCTGTTGAGCCTATAACTCCTCTTGCAGGTGCTGTAAAGCTCTTTTTACTGTGGAATGTATTATCAATGTTCATGGTTCAATGCAATGAGAACATGAATGTCCTTTAATGGCAAGATTAAAAGAAAGTGGATGGAAATGCTTTGGCCATGGGGCATTTATGTCTGGTCTGATGCATGTTCTGCAGCTTCTCCTGCCTCAAATTCCCCAGTCAAATTTCCCTACCACAGCTATCTAATATTCTTACCTTTGTGAGCATGTTGACCAGATTAGAATTGATTAAATGGAGAGGTTTACTCAGAATTTTGTTTGAGAATATCACCCCAGTGATGAATTCATGCACTGCAGGATGAAAAAGTTTTTCTCATGCATGCATCCAATATTTGGCACAATATGGATGAATGTGGGAGTGCTACTTTTGCATTCCCTCATTTGAGAGATGAGCATTTGGAAGACTGTTTTTCATGTGTTGTGCAACACTTCTGTAGTTGTCTGCCACAATCACATTGCCTGACATGATCTGTATCATTATTGTTAAGAACTGGATCCAGCATTTCATATGCTTGTCACAATTAGTTGAGTTTCTTTGTTGAAGTTAATTTTTTTTTTAGTCTTTAGTATTCTTTTTTTAGTCTTTTTTTTTTTTAGTCTGTGGCTTTTTTTTTAAATGGAAATTAATTATGGCATTCCTACATTTTTTTGTGGAATCAACTCATGCAGAAGCAGATAGACAGAAGTCAGACAAGGCCTTGCTGTTTCCCCCAGTATTTAACATCTCCAAGTTGCTCCATTGCTCCATTGGTTTATCTCCAAGAAGGAAAGGAAGGTGGCTGCTGCAAAGAGTTTTATTTGAAATAGGTACACATTAAAAAAAGAATGCTGGTCAGATTTGGAATTCTTCAAAACTTTTGCATTAACCTTTACATGCTGAGCATTTACATATTCAAACAAAGGATGTAAGTGTAAAAATGCAAATTTTGCCATATTCAAAGGGTATAGAATCTTCCTTTCCACATCTATAAAAGGAAAATTTCATGCTGTTTGAATATGGTTACATTTGCATTTTTCCACTTACCTGCTCTGTTTGAATTTGGAAACATTTAGCATGTATAGGTTATAGGTACCTGTCATGTATGATTTCCCTGCATTTTCTTGCTAACATGTCAGTTTTGAATGATGTTGTCAGTCAATATCATGTTCAGATGATATCTTATTTGATTTTTTAAAATCATGATATTGGATTGATCTGATGAGATTAAGCGATTGATGGATGAAATTCACTGACACCCATATTGGTATTAATTTTGCTTGCAGGAAGAATCCAGTGTCCAGGCTCTGATTGATGCTTGCATTGTGGATGATGAGAAGCTCTACCTCTGTGTCTCATCACCGACTATCAAGGATAAACCAGTGCAGATTCGACCTTGGCGACTTGCTGATGCTGACTTTGTCTATGATGCTTCAATGCCCTTGGATCCACGCAAGACTGTCTTTGTTGGGGGAGTTCCTCGACCACTGAAGGCTGGTGAGTCCCACTAACCAATTGAAAGAAAAACTGCAGTAAAAGCATATTTTGAATTCATTACCTAGTCCTTGTCTATCCTTTCTCAATTTTTTTATTTCAATTTCTAAAAGCTGTCTGTTTCACCATGGTCTGGTTTTGCTCCACCATGTAGTGGAGTTGGCATACATCATGGACCGCCTATACGGAGGAGTCTGCTATGCTGGGATTGATACTGATCCAGAATTGAAGTATCCAAAAGGAGCTGGAAGAGTTGCTTTCAGCAATCAGCAGTCTTACATTGCTGCTATCTCAGCACGCTTTGTTCAGCTGCAGCATGGAGATATTGATAAACGGGTGAGTTCTTAAACATGTTGTTCATGCAGTGGCTTAGTTTTGGGAATCTGCATCCTTGAATTCTTCTGTAATTTTTAAAGTAAGTAGTTAGTGGATATTCCAGGATCCTGGAGAGGTGTCAATCCTTCCTATAGATGAGCTTTTTGGTTATCTGACCAAATAGATAAATAGACTGACTGCTCAGACAGAAGCTTTTTTTTTTAGTCTCAGTCTAGTGAGCTTATCTCTAAAGTTTGTGAATGATGAGAAGTGCATATGATCTTTTTAAGAATTTTTTTTGGATGGTGAAAACAAGAGATTAAATCAGAACCAATGATCAGGTCAATTTTTCTGTCCTGAAACTAACATGCTGAGAAAGGAATTTTGTGACCTTGGAAGAAGAGCCAACCAAACATAAGAAACCATTAATAAGAAAAATTCAACAGTTTAAAATTGTATAATACAGTGATGTGTGATACTAAACTCATGTGATTTTAATCACTTATCATGCTCAACCTACAATGACTGCTTCTCTCCAGTTGCATTCACATTGTGATGCCCCATTTTGACCTCTTGATAATTTGTGTTCATAATTATAATTTATAATGTAGGCTAAATTTGTTTATTGTGTGACATTTGCATCCCAACACATGAAATACACTTCCTTCATTCATATGCACAAAATTGTAGCATGAGATATTAATCTATTGACTCATCAAGTGATTAGTATTTTTAGCAGTTCCCCCATAAAACACTTAATTTTTTACATTTTTTCTACTTCCTTGAATCAGGCAAACAGCCTTCAAGCAGACATCTGAGCTTATATATGCCATTTCAACTGAAAAGCTTCAATCTTAAGGAAACCTAATATTTAAAAAATTGTCAGTTGGCTTATGATCAGCAAAAGGAAACCATAGTTTGTGGTTAGCTTCACATGGCTTGACCTTTCTTCACTGGTGCTTTGATGCCCTATGCGTTTCTTCCTTCTTTCCTTGAAGAAAAGAGAGCTTTAAAGTTTTCAGGATGCTCTGAGGATTGAAGCGTGAATGATATCCCATAGAGTATTGATGTCTGGTGTGCTTTCAGGTGGAGGTAAAGCCTTATGTTCTGGATGACCAGCTGTGTGACGAATGCGGTGGAGCACGATGTGGTGGGAAATTTGCACCATTCTTTTGCGCCAATGTCACCTGTCTCCAATACTACTGTGAAGGCTGCTGGGCTGCTATTCACGTGCGACCTGGCCGTGAATTCCACAAGCCGCTTGTGAAAGAAGGTGCAGATCGACCTCGAGCAGTTCCTTTCCGTTGGTGATGTCGCTTTGACCTAGGCTGTTGGAAATTGGATTCATTCCTTGTTCGAAGCCATTGGTATTTTAGTTGGGGTGATTTTTCAGGTACTTCCAGATTTGCCTTGTTTTTGTGCGTTACATTCTTATATCTCTTGTGCTTTTTCATCTTTTCTCATTCTCGCCTGTTTGAAACACATGGAATGGTCATGTGTAAAGGCTGATGGCTTCGAATAAGGAATGCTGCTGAGCCAGATTGGTTGTTCTGAAAAAGCAGATAGAGTTTCATCAAGGAAAGGATAGGGAGAGGCAGCCAGAGGCATTAGAACTATCTCAGCTCTATATTCTTAGTCTTAGGGTCCTCTGCACACTCATGTTTGATTCCCTTTCCACTTTGTCTATATATGATAGACACCCTGGCCCTGCTTAGTCGTCCCAGTTACTAGTGCAATATACATGAATGAGAAATCCACATATTTTTCTGATAGATACTGTAATAATATATTGAGAAAGAATTATTTAAAGTCACCTAGGCAGTGGGAGAAGGGCTGCATATACGTATCCATCTTTAAATTAATCTCCCCTAGTTGGTTGTAGGAAGGATTCTCTTTTGTGCAGCATGGGATTATCATCTTCGGTCCCATTCCCCATACTTCCTCTCTGGTTATTCTCTTGGTGTGTAAGTGATCGTATTCCACCATGCCCTTTCCCAGTGTTAGCCGTGTGATTTGTACTCTTCTCTTTCCATGGTGCAGGGTATATCTTGCACTGGTCAGCATCATTTGTGTATGTGCGTGTTTCCTGCGTGCGGCTGATGTTATGATGGTGAGGGGAGTCCCTAAATCTCAAATCATCTTTGCAGACCCCCCTCTCCACCAAGCTTTCCTCCCCTCCCGAAGATGGACTTGTTGTTGTTGCCATTTGTTGTTGTTACTCTGACTGGGAAACTTGGCTCACTCCTTGAGGTCTCCTTCCATGCTCCCCTCCTCCTTATTGGAGGGTCTTCTTGGGAGAGAGAAACATTTTCAGGATTCAGGGACTTTGAAGCATATTGCTGACAGTTTTGTTTTCAAGCCTTTGAAAGGATTTCCCATATTTATTCCTTTTTTACCTTTTCTTCCATCCTTTAGTTTGATTCTTTTCCTCTTGCTCCCCCCCCCCCCCCCCATTTAATGTTGAACGATTAGACTTTCTTCATTGAAGCATTTTCGCTTCCATAATTTTTTATGGAGATTTGTATATACATCATTTTTTATATGAACTCATGCCTTTCTTTTTTTAAAATTCTCAATAGAGGAGGAAATGTTTGACAGTTGGGATGTACAAATGCTTCCTCCCCTTCCTTTCCTTCATCGTGGTCCGCTTCAAGGATCTTGCTCAGTTTTTTACAAATGGAAGCGAGGATGACTCATCCCCTTAGTACATGTGTCTTTTCAGGCAATTACCATGTCAAACCGTCTCACTATTCTGAGTATGTTGTTGAGAATTTTTTACATTCTATTTTTTATACCCAGCTCTTCTCTCATTTCCTTTTCCTGTCTGTATGGATCCTAGTGGAAGGAAGGAGGCTGCAAGGAATAGCCAGATTTTGACAAATAGTCTGTGATTTTATTTCTCTCCTATATGTATCGGACATAGGGAAAAATCTTTGATTTTTTTGCACCATTGAACGTGGAGGTGGTGGAATCAGGATCATATCAGTCAGTCACTCTTGTCGTCCACTGTTCGTATATGTGTTCAGGAGTTAAATTCCTCTACAACTCAGAACCCAAAGAATTTGATGGTGCATACATCTCCATTGGAAGCCCTTCCCATTCATATGTGGCTGTGCTCCATGTGCTATGCAGAGAAAAAAAAAAAACAATTTTTGTGAAGCCACTATTCTCTATATATTTATATGTATGATACCAGCAATGTAGTCACTGTATGTGATACCACGGCTGAACGGGTGTTGGTCAATTTTTTGTAGTGTCGAAATGCTGTTACAGCTAAAAAAAAAAAAGGTCTCTCCCTATTCTACACTTTCTTATATCGTATGAATTACTCGCTATTTAGCCACCCAGTTTTGGCCTTCAAATCACTTTCGATGGTCTAGTATTTTATGCTAAGCACTTCACTGAATAGTACTTCGGGTGTGAAAAATTTCTTAGCCTGTGACAGGTGAAAAAAAAATTTCTAGTCATGTGTATTGTCTCTGCCTATTTCCTGTCATTGTGCCATTCTGTTTCCTTTTCATTTCAAGCCGCTTGTGATATTCACAGACATATATACTTCAACACTTGCCTACAAAGGATTCTTTTAAAATAGATTTCATTTCTGTCCTCATAATCTGCTTCTTCCTCTGCTTCAAAAGACCAGCCTCCCACTTTCAACTGTGTCTACATTTACACTTGTAGTTGCTCACCTGAATCTTTCATGGTATTTGCCAAAGTTGAGTTATTCCATGGTTTGACCTGCACCTTTTTATTTTTGTAACTCAGAGTTGGTTTTTTTATATTTTGGTCTAAATTAATATATTCCTTACTCCTATTCTGTAGCATAAGGTGGACGCTTCAGTATTTATTACTCTAAGCTGGAGACAACTATAGGGAGGGCGTGATTAGGGTTTGGTAGTGTGGATTTTCTCTTGCGTGATTTTAGGACAGTTCCTTTTAACCCCTTTCAAGCATCGATCTGTTTGATTCTGTGATGAAAATCGAAAAATAACAGCTACAAATTTAGTGACTCAAAGACATTGATAAGTAATCCTCCGAGGTAGTTACTAATCGGATTCTCTTGTATCAGCCTCCCTCATTGGTGTGTTTGTACCATTTTAGGAAATCAAAATATCATGCAGGCTCCAGGATAGGCCAGTCTACTTGAGTCACTGGACATGCCTGAGCCTGCATGATATGTGTGTTTGCCCACTTGAGGGTTAGTTTTTTGCATTTTGCTTGATTGCTATGTGAATTCCCATGGTTTTTAATTTTGTAATTTGGTACAGGCACTGGATGTTAAGCCTCTACCGAAGGCATCTTGAATCCCTTCCGTGGCTTCTCCCTTGTCCACCTCCCTCAACCCACTTTCCCCTCGCTTCACCCACAAACTTGACTCCCTGGATAAAATTCCCAGAGTTCCATTGTCCCTCACCTTTCTCAAGTGCACCCGGTAGACGCTGTAAACGTCCATACATGCTCCCATTTTCAAGGGTGTTTTTTCATAGTTACTTTGTTGTATTATGAGCAATTTTTATGTTTCATATAAAAATTGGAAATGACCACTTTTTCTCAAGTAAATTTTTGTGTGATGTAGCAACTGGATTGTTTTATTTCTCAGTACAAACTGCCAAAAGAAATCACAGAAATATTCAAAGGGTCTTTAGGGTCTTTGATGAGACCCAAGAGGAGGTAGTCAATCCAGCTCCATCAGGTGGATGGCTTGATGGAAATAAAACATGTCTCCAATTCCTGAAACAAGGGGGTAGAAAGTTAATCTCATGAAAAAATCTCAAATCCAATTTCTCTGATACCCACTGTTCACTATGTTCTCATTATCAACAGAATAACATTAAAGATTTGCATTAGAAAGATAATTGGAAATGATTTTCCCAGTTGTTACCTATCTCCTCCACCCCAGAGGACAGATGAAATGAATGTACGTTTCTCTGCTGACAAGTAAGGGTTCATTCAAACTCATTTCAAGAAGTCTTCTACTATCTTATGATTTTGATTACATTATCATCTGTGCACATCGTTTTCACGGGGATAGTTCTGAACAGAAGTATAATGATTCTTTATCATAAACAGGACACAAACAGTTCTAAGATGGAGTGCATTAGGTTAATAATTTTTTCCCTATTTCTTGGGGCATGTGAGGCGGAATACTCCAATTGATAATTAATGGGAATCCTTGCAACATATTAAAGGAATATAATCACTTATCCAACGATACTGGTCTGCTTTTAAAGAAGTTGCCCGATTCCATGCCATGCTGCAGTATCACACGGTTATGAGCGACGGGACACTTGTGCCAATGAGACATTGTTTTCCTCATGACCAGCCTCTTTTGCTACATCACGAAACTTCCCCCCACCCCCCATTGATTTGGCGAAACCGCTTCGCCCGTATTCTGCACACCTCGAAGCTGGAAAGTCCTGAATTTAAGGCAATAATCAACCTAGATCAGCTGGAGTGCTCAAGCATGCACGATATGGTGGAGAGTCGTCGGAGAACGCAGTGAACCTTCTTTCGTAGTATTCCAGGAGTTGACGTAGTTGGCATTGCTCCCGTTTTGCCTCGGAAGCTGTGGAAAAGATCGCGGTCATCGCTGAGATGCGCCGAAGTGCCGTTTGAACCCAACGCCTCCTATCCTTCACGGGAACGTGAACAAGTCGACGGAAGGAACGAAGATCCTCGCGTCGATTTTGTCGCATTCCTTTCCATCTCAAGGATTTCCATGTTTTGAACCTTCGTTATGGGCTCATAAACCTTTGCACGCTGCATCGTGAAATGGCAAAACCCTATGCTTTTCGTGGCTCGTTCCATCACGTCGCAACGGTCCTCAAAGCGTGGAGCGAAATCCGGAAATCGGTTCGTCGCCCCATCAAAGCAGAATGCCGGCTTTTCAGTGGCAATAACATGCCTATCGCATGCAATGCGAGGGCACCCATAACACCAGTCTTAAATAGTCCGGAACTCGATAAAATCGATGGGCAGCAATCCCAGGATATATTTGAAAAATTTGACGTTATTCAAGTTCATCGTAACAGAATACTTGGAGGGGATCCGAATGCGCTCACGTCCTGCGACTCACTGCAATGGAACACGTGTGCAACTTGCACGCTGCTGCTTGGTTTCGGCATATCGACATCGGTATTGCAGCACATCGAATGATTGGGCCTATCTGAGGGGCGCCTTGTGGTGGCTCGTGAACGCATTCATCTGGAAGAAAAATTACTTGGCGCCTTTCTGCGGTTTCCTTCGAGGGTTCGAGCGGTATACACACCGGAAGCACCCGATTAAGAGGCACGCCAAACAGCAACAAAGAGACATCCCTCACTCCAACGCTTCTGGCCTCGAAACAAGGCATGGACGTGGATCAGGGAAAACAAAAATTCGTAGACTTCGAGGCGAGAACGGAGCCAGCATGACGTAACAAGGATTCCTTCCCCACTCACATGCGTCTTTACTTGGGAAAAGCCACGACGATGACAATGGGTCTATGGACGTCTGCTTCAGGCTTATTTCTTTCTTCTGCTCGATGGAGTCAGCAAAAACAGGTGTTATAATGCAGCAGAATAAAACACTTGGATAACATAGGAGTATCAGAGTACAAGGCCAGACCATAGAGAAATTTCAGACTGATGGACGAAGCTTATCCCATACAGTACACTTGTACATGCTGAAGCATAAGAGTTAAAGCCTGTCCTTTCCAATAGAAAAAAGTCCCGGAATAATTGTTACTCCTGAACAGCTGCTAAACATAGCTTTTTCTATATCTACATTTCAGTTCTTCATTGATAACCTATTGTACATATATTTGCTCAAATTATGGGCTGTCTGACCCATGCAGCACACGGTCGACCAGTGCCCATGTCCCTATCAGGAGGTGAGGGAAAAGGCTGACTATCCTCTCAATTGGTCACTCTGTCCTCTGCTTGAGCAGTGCTCAAGCAGAGGACAGAGTAGTCATTGAGCTTGAGCAATCCAGCATCAATCATAGCTAAAATTATTTCAAGAAGCTAGTATTAGCCATCACTTACAGTGATCTACATTCTAGGACTTGGCAAGATTTTGGAGGAAAATAACTCATCACAGATAAAGAAAGGTGAAATGAAAAACATCAGGTTGACAAATTAAGAAAATACGTAGGCACAACATTCAGTTTCTAACTCGTTCCGATTCACTCTCTGAATTGGTTGCTTCCATGGGGTACAATTGCACAATTCACTATGCTGATCCTAACTGATAACCTTTCCTCCTATTCTGCACAATGTCCTACACAAGCCCAAAGTGAAACTGGTACATTATTGCTCATGTGCTGACTCATTGCCAGAGCACATGAATCTCTGAGAGGCCTCGTGTATCACTTCCTTAGTTGTCTCCCAACCCCACTCCAAGTGCTTAAGTCAAGACTTGAGGCAGTGACAAAGCAAGAGCCCAATGACCAAATGGAATCGTGAACTCACA